ATAAGTATGTTTGTCTTGTGAGACAATGGGCAATGTTGAGCTGGATTATGTCTAAAAAAGTGCAGTTACTCCATTTTAGACAGACATAAAAAGTTACGTAATTGTTTCTTAAATTCAGGTGTGCTGTGGGCAGCTGCTAATCCCAATAGCTACCCAGTTTGATGTTTGAGAACCCTGAAAATTTGCAAAGGTTCTTATTCAAAGAAAATAAAGCATAATAAAAGGGTTATTGACATAGCTGAATTATTACTTCAGTGCATGTGTTTGCCCAGTAGACTGTAATGGCTTTGAAGTAGCTGTTCTGGTACATTGAGTAAATTCTGGGTCAATTTTGGTATGCCTAGTCATTGTGAAAACACTTATTTCTCAATGCCACACAGCTGCTCCTGAAGTGTCAAGAATTGGCCTGTCAAGTATTGGCCTGTTGTTTGACCAAATTGACATAATTGTGCTAAGACTTGGTTTTTATGGTTGTGTGCTTAATTGACTAGGTAGCAGTATCTTGTAAAGAACCAGTTTTCTTTAAATACCTATGGAAATATTTTTTCTATACTATCCAGAGTTAATACCATAAAAAGTTCTTCTCTATTTTTTTTTTTCCTAGGAAAAAAGAAAAGGCTCATCTGTACTGGATAAATGTGAGTTAAGTTTCAATTTGTTGTAAACTCTCTTGTCAGGTCCAAAGCCACTTGAAATGGTTTTGTAATGGAGATGTTGAAACACAATGGGTGGTGGAAATGTTTCTGTTTATTATTAATTGACTCAGTATGTGGTTTTTTGCTTAAAATGCCAGTCATTCAAGGCTGTAGCTCAACCACTACCTGGTCTGCTTTCTTCCTGGTGAGCGCAGTTGAGATGAACTGGTCTGTATATCAGGGTATGTATATGAGTGTTTGGAAAATAGGGTTAACTGTGGCTGAATGTCTCCTAAATTTTTGAGGTGTCTGCGCTCATTTAACCACCTTTCTGCAATATGGAGCAGAACTCATCTGACAGAATAAAAATGAAACAAAAATGTGTGCATGCGTCCTTTTCCCAGAAGATACAACTCGTCTAAAAGAAGGATTGTATGCCCAGCATCTTGGCAGATGATGCTGAGAATTGACATAATACAGATGTAGGTAGAGTACCGGAGTCTTTTTTTTGTTTTGCTTTGTTCTTTAAAGGAGAGGTTAAGATGAGCTCTCTGGAGTCTTGATACTTCTGAAAAAACCCTGAATGTTAGCAAAGTAATCTCTGAGATTTTTGTCTTGCAGCATATGTTACTGTGGGCTGAACACTACTACTACTGGGAGCTGCAGACAACTGAAGATACTTACCAACAGTGTTTAAAACACAACAATTCTCATCTGTAGATTGATAGAATTGTGATTTCTGCCTGAAACCCTGAGATCTAACTTACTGCCATAAGGAACTGTAATCTGTGTGGCGCGTGAGCTGCCTGTGAGACTTGTTTACTGGTTGAAGACAAGACCCATTGTGGGTTTTTCAGCCAGATAAGGTTTTGAGAGAATTTTCAACTTGTCTCCTTACAAAGTGAGTACAGCAAAATCTCCATTGGTAGGACTTCACAGAATCTGAACAGAGGAAGAGGGAAAGAGTAATTGGTATCTTCTAACTCCCTCTTCTACTTGGGCAGACAAGGAAGAGATGGCACAAAACACATAAGCAGCTGCCTCTGCACGTACTTGAATAAAGACTTCCGAGTTCTTGAAGCACAGAGATGTGGAAAAAAAAAACCACTTTTTTTTTTTTATACCCAAGTTCTTACTCATCTGGGAGCTACTGATCTTGCAAGCCCCTTTATTTCAAGGCTGTCAGAAGCATTTGCTGTCATCACTTCTTTCTCTTTCCTCAGCTTTTGATCCCTAACCTGTAACATGGGAAAAACCAAACTTGCTTTTGCTCAGTTCCCTTAGCTTTTTGGATCACAGAGATCTTCATTGCTGCAAACTCGAGGAAGAACCTGCCTTCTAGGCTACGCCTATTAGTCCATCAGTCTAGAAAATAAACCTTCAATGGCAAACTGCAAATAGCAGATGAACTCTTGGCTATGTAGCAGAAACCACTGTGGGTTATGAGGACTTGCTAAATGTACTGAAGGTTGTGAAATAAACAGGTTTGACAGCTGCTTGTTCCAAATTGGGCTGTTCTTGTCTCAGTTCAAGAATCTCGGTACAGGAACACAAAATTGTCTGACCCAAGCTAAGCAAAAAGCCTGTGAATGTTTCTAGAAGCATCTTTGATTTTAAAAATCTAGATGTCTTTCTATAAGCTTTCTCACGTGTGTGCGTTTGCCATTGTTTTTTTATGTTCCCTTGCCATAAATCAAGAGTCATTCCATTTCTGTAAGTAAATTTCCCTCTGACATCAGAGTTGAGGAACAAGTGAAAACACATCTTTTTTGCTGATTCTTTCCATTCCATTTGTTTGTGGTTCAGGTCTTGGCTGTGTGTTGAAGGCTGTATTATTATTTTTTAATCTAAACTGTTTTTTCTGTAGTAGAGAGGATCATTTGTTCTGTGTGTTACTTTAAATAACAGAAACATCTTGGTTATAAAAGCTGAAGAAGAGGGGCTTAGAGATTCTCTAAATATTTGATATGATTTGATAAGTATATCTACTAAAAATAGCCTTTGTAAAGAAGGGTAGTTACTCATTCTGTAATATTTCTAGTCAACAGCAAAAGCCATAAAGATTTTTTTTCTGAAATGATTAATGGCTGCATATCTGAAGTCCTGCAAACTTTTGCTATGCTCAGCAGAATGTAAAATTTTAAAATAAAGAATATATTGTATTCTTGCTTGTGAAAAGAGCTTTTCCTTTATTCTGTTTTTGTTTGCTCCCTTGCCAGCCAAGCTAGAAAAGTAAGCAGCACTTTTCTGTCAGGCTATGCTAATGTCGTGAGCCATTTTCATCTGTTCAGTGTCCAAAAGGCTTGATTCCTTATCTGCCATCATCCTTCCATGAAGTGCATGTGTGGGGAGTGCAGGCTTGGGCACAAATCTCGTACCCTTTGAAGACAGTTTGTCCAAAATAAATGCTCAGTTCCAGTAAGTGTAATTTAGTTGATAAATATCTAACAGTTTTCTGGAGAGGAACCTCTGTTGTTTTTCTGCATGTACCAAAAGCATTTTTAGTACAATCCTGATCCTGAAGTCCTTGAACACTGACATGAGGGCATGTAGTGCTGTTTGTGCACTAATGGTGCCAAACCATCTAGATGTTTTATTTGCTTTTCTCAAAAATGTCGCGTCGTTCTAGACTGCTTAGAGACTGAGCCAGTTGTTTAATATTTCATGGCGATGAAAGAGAAGAACAAGACAGATCAAACCAGTGTCTGTGAAAATGAGCATACTATCCTGGTGTGGAAGACCAGCAGGCTTTATTGTTCTGGAGGTGTTGTGGTTACTTTTGTTGGTGAAATTACTAACAGTCTTCCCCTGTCATCCAGGCATGTGTAACTCCCTGGACATTTTCTATTGATATTTTAATCCAGATTACCCATTCTCGGGATACGAATTTAAATCTAAAAGGTAATTAAATATTTTAGTGAATGTGTGAAATGGAGTACAGATCACAGAGGCCATACAACCTCAGTGTGAAGAGGAGAATCGGCAGTATCACACCCTGAGTGTGTGTTTAGACCTCATGTGAAGCTGTTGTCTTCAGTCATACTCAGTTTTGAACAAATGAATTTTTAAGCATGAACATTGTTATTGTAGTTTATATATGTAGCACCTATATATATGTAATACATATGCATATTCAAAACCACTAACAAGGCTCATAATTTAAGATGACATGTGGCCACCTGTTTTGGTCATGATTTGAAGGGGAGTTACAGATGTTTCAGTGCTTTGCTCGTTTGGGGAAGACCATGTATGATGTGTTGGCCAATAGAAGTTGCACTGAATGATGCTTCCATGGTCAGCCTGTCGTCCTTACACTATGGCAAATGGCAGAGTTGGGCTTGCAAAGAAATTGAAGGATCACCTGAGTTGATGTTATCTGTGTGCCAGGAGAGAGCTCTGGAATGCTGGCAGTGGTGTTGGCGTGTCCCCCTGTGCTGCCTGGGATGTCTGGCTGTTGCGTGCATGGGTCGGGTACCTTTAATAAAGTTGCATAAAATGTTGCATCTCTTAAAAAAAAAAAAAAAAAAAAAAAAAAAAAATAAAATTTTTTTAACTCACGTTTTGAAATTATTATTTCAGGACATGAAGTAATTTATTAAATCTATTGAACTTTGCCTTCTTGGTGTTTGCATATGCTCTGACTTTAGTGGTCTGCAGCAAAATCAAAAGGAGCTTGTTTGAGAGGGATTCAAGTGATGGCTTTTTTTCTTCAAAAATCAGGTGGACATGAGTGCTCAAACATGTTTGCCATCACTGGGAAAGCACCTACAGTTTGTGGGGGCAAGAATGACAGACCTGCTAGGTAGTAAGCTGGGGTTCTAACTGTGTATACTAAATCTATCTGGAGGTGGAGAGGAGGCAGGATTGACTTGTCCCATATAACACCATTTGAATAAATATAAGGGGAGATGTGCGTGAGTGGCTGAGAATGTGATCACCTGATGTGGGATTCCTATAGTGAGGTTTGGACTCATCTTTTTTGGTGTGGAAAGCTGTTTTCCAGCCTTAGAAACATTGGTTCCAGTTTGAGAAGGCATTGAAAAACATGCATGAAGTGCTTTTCCAAGGAAGGATGTTTTTCCATAGTCAAGTCCTGTGTTAACTTGAAATGTCTTCGATTTAGGGAAGGGGGGTGGGAGGGCGAAGTGATTTCAGGTGCTAATGTCTGTGCATAGTATCTTGCACATGGAGACCCTGTTCTGTTGGTCCTTAGGCGATACTGTGATTAAAAAAACCAATACAAACACCTGGATCCACCTGCCAAGTTTTGTAGCTTTACACTCCCTTTTCTATACCTTAAAAAGAGGAGGCAGGGTTTTTTTCGCTGTGCTTTGGCTGCTGTGTTGAGAGAGACATGTAAACAGCATGAGCTGCCAGAATGAAGGAGACGCTGAAACTGTCCTTATGTACCGGGCTGTTGCATGCACAGACAGGTTGGGGGAGGAAGGAGGGAGCCCATTCCCTGCCTTGCCTTCTCTCTTGCATTTAGTGTTGCTTCTCTCATAGTGGTGAGCTAAATTATTTTTGTACAGAAGCATACTTCTTGAATTGATGTCCCAGTAACTTCTGAATTTCAGGCCTAATGTGCTAAAGGGTTTGATCTTTCCAGGTAAAGTGTATTTATATGTACTTGGCTTTCTAAAGGAATTCTGGAGCAGGAAAATGTCCAAGTAAACTGAAGATTTGCTCTTTAACATTGGCAGCTGCTGTGCAAGATGCATTTAAAAACTGTAGTTCTACTTGTGTTAACAAAAAAATTGCCTTTTTTTTTTTTAATTGTAAGATACAATTGCATTTGTTTTGCGCTTTCTAATCTTGGAAACAGAAGCTGGGTAGAACTGGTTGGTTCTAGCTAGCTCTGCCTCTAAGTACTGGAACCAGTTTTGTTGGGGATAGGTCAGTAAAGTGAAAGTTTTGTTTAAATATCCTTCACAACCATGTCAGTATTGTTTCTCTTGTTTAACTTTTGTGCTGGATTTGTGAAGGTACAATAAGGTTTAGCTCTTAATATACAACTGTTTTGGCTTTAATGTAGCAAAACTATAAATAGACACCCCCTTGCCTCCCCAGCAGTAGGAAATGACTGCAGCAGGTGGTGTTCTCAGCTAGAAATTTGCTCATTATTAGTGCCCAAGTACTTTTAAAAAAATTGGTTTTCTTGTATGTTCTTCCTTTATTAAATGCCAACTGACTGGTCAGGAAGTATCTTGTTAAAATCTGAAATCTTCATTAAGGCAAAAGAAATAAAACCAGAAAGGTATTTTTGGTTTATTTCTGTGCAGCCTCTGTGTTGAATATGTTTTACGTGCAATCTTAAAAGTATTAACGGAAGGCACAGCAGAGCTGCATAATGCTGGTTGCTGGTTAAAATAGCGTTTTGGTTCTTTTAGCAGTGTTGGGCTGGAATTTAGCTCAGGTTTGTTACAGCAGTTGCTCTGTGGTAGCACTGGTAGATGCTTGAAAGGCTGTGGGCAAGATTTGTATCCCTGCTTGTGCTGTATAGTATCTTACACTGTGAATGGCATCAAGAAAATAAACAGGTCTTTATGTGCAGCAGGGTAGTGCTCTGGGTAAATAAGGATATTGCAGTCTGGTCCAGGCAAAATGAGTTTGATGGTGTCAATAAAGAAGCTTCCCCTTGACCCAAACCCCATCATTGTGTTTGGATTAACTTTCAGTCTCAGCAAAGAGGCTGACTTGTTTGGACAGGGAGAATAAGTACATTTGTGCTGCTGAGATTGTTTCCTTTTAGCTGTGGTGGAGAGCCCTTGTGTCTTGCCACTGCTGGGTGCTGAAGAAATAGTGAAATCAAGGGGAGATGCACCATGTACTTATAGCATGTGTGTAAACAACAAAATGGGGACAGTCCTGTGTTTTCAGTTACTGTTTAACCTGTATCTGCCTTTATACTATACCCTTCTGTTCTCCCACAGATGCGAGAGCTGTGTAGAACTGCTGTTTGTGAGAGGGGCTGGGAATTGCCAGGAGTGTGATACCCCCCTGCGGAAGAGTAACTTCAGGGTACAGCTCTTTGAGGATCCTGCTGTCGACAAGGAAGTGGAAATTCGGAAGAAAGTGCTGAAAATGTGAGTGTCTCCAGTTAAAAGAACAGAAGATCGATATATTTCCTGGATCACCATTTAAAAAAAATGATGTACTCCTCCAGTAGTACAGAGGAGATAATTAAATCTTTTTTTTCTTTTTTTTTTTTTTTTTTTTTAAAGTGACAGCCTGTAAAGCTTGACTCCATTTAAAGTGGAGGGATTTCAGAGAATCTGATTTTATGCAACAACTGAGGGCTGAATTTTCAATTTAGCCTTGAGGGATTCCTGCTTAGCATTAGAAAAAGTTGGGTGTTTCTATGTGGCCTCCTTTGGCAAAAACTTGCCTCCTAAATGGAGATTATTAGATACTGAGGACTACAGCTGCTTTCCCTTTGAGGGGGTGAACATGGGAGTGGGGCAAGAAACAGGACCTTGATTGTTTTGTTCCCTGGGGACCTGTTCTGAGAGTTGGAAGGCCAGTTCCCTTCAAAATGAAAATGGACAAAAGAGAAGCTATGTTCGCATTGTTTTCTACTTCACACAGCAATTGTTAGTGGAAATGCTTCCTTACAAGCCTTGTATTACTAGTCTGTCATGTAGATTTGAGAGCTCTTGGAATTGAGATAAGTGAGGTCTAAAATTTCATCTCACTCCTTGTGGACAACAAACATTTTTATAAGGAAAATAAGCCAGCCAGTTGATATCTTGGTAGAATAGGGAGCGTAACAAATCTGGAGAGAGTTGTGTATGCAAAAATGAATGTACAGGTAAACTGTAAGCTTGGCACCCTTTATCTAAAACTTAGTATAATACTAAAAGAGTCACATAATGTTGCTGAGATGTGGAGAAACTGTGTTGTTGAATACCAAGATGGTATGGACAATGCCAATGTGGACAGTAGTAATAGTTTTGATGTTTGATTATCAGTCAGCTTAGTTGACTAAACACAGAACGAAGTGTACTCAGAACAGAAGGTGTTGTAAAATGCTTGGCCCACTTGGATTTGCTTTTAGTAGGCAGAAAAAATGTCCCCAAATTAGAATTCGGCCCAAGAAACTCCCTTTCTGATCCCTATAGAAAAGCTTTTCTTGTGGCTGTTAGTGTTCTCTGCCTTTGTTAACAGGCTTCTCATACTGAATTAGTATATCCTAGCCTTTGTGCTCCTGTTCACCTGTAACCCTGGGAAAGGAACTGGTGAACAGTAGGCAAAGATAGCACCAATTTATGCCAGGCTGGCTCCTTTCCTTTGAAATGAGCACTTCTGTCTCCTTTTAAAGATTCTGTACATTGGTCAGTTGTGGGAGCCACAAAGCACATAGTTGATAAAACTAGGTCAACACTTAATACACTTGCAGCAAGAGCCTTGCTGAATTGAAATTGCATCTTTGTGTGTTATATAAATGCTTGTTTCTCTTCCTTCAAAGATACAATAAAAGAGAGGATGACTTTCCTAGTCTAAATGAATATAATGATTTCCTGGAAGAAATAGAAGAAATTGGTAAGTCTTAATGCTTGCATTTTTGATGTGCTGTGCTCATGAGACCATAGGCTTTTATCTTCTGACTCAGCTGCCTATGAGAATGTCTAAGCTGAGTTTCTGTAATAGTATTTATCATAGTATCAGATGTTTATCTAATTACTTTTTCTGTACATTTTTAATCATATTTGCTGAACTGAAGTACATCGTTAAGTAAAACATTTTATCTGCCATAGAAAAAACATGATTCAAAGAGGGAGTAGTGTTATACAGCTGGAAAAGAAAAGCTTGCAGGGGCACTGTCGGTGCTGCACTGGGAAAGATTAAACAAAGAGAGGAGAAATTGAAATTTTCATTATATGCCTCCATTAGCTTTATCTACCATGACAGAAGCCATATGGTGTCTTTCATCATCTGTGCTTCTGCAAGTACAGTAGTTGAAGCTGCTTTGAAGCTGATGACCTTATATACCACTGCAGTAGCATTTTAAGTTGCTGTGCAGGAGGAGAAGGTTTAGGAACAGACATTGATTTCTTTCTCTCTGTCTTAGTTGAAGCAGAACTTTGCCCTCTGGGGAAGGGACTATGTTATCAACAGAGTTTATTTTCTTCTTAGTTAGGGTGACTTGTGATTTATGGTGGAGTGATGGATTTTGCTTAGAAAAACAAGGATGTGTTCAAAGGAGTGACTCCTAAACGGTTTGTTTCTTTTGTTTTATGAGCTTCTGAGTCTTTTTTTTTTTTTTTTTTCCTGGAGGAAGAGGTGGTTTAGAACATGCAGGAGGATCGATGAATGTGATTTGAAGGAAAACATGGAGATACCACTCCCCTTTGGTTTCTCAAAGGAACACTTGCTCCTCTTTGCACTGTGATGTTTTGTGCAAATGTATCCAATACGGTTACTGTTGTGAGTAATGTATCATGTTTTTGTTGGCATCAGAAAGCTGAGGCTGGAGAGCTAAAGCTGTGGCTGGGAAATACTAGGCACACTCACGCAGGTCCAAATATCTGGAGGAGACAATGTGGGTGTAGTTCTGTTTGTATATTTTTTTGTACGGTGTGGGGGAAGGAGGGAATGAGTAGCAAGAATGGTTGCATCTTAGCCAGAGGATCCTGGAAGAATCTGTGTGCTCACAGAAAGGAAAACTGCCTTCTATTTATGTAGCATGAAATACAGGTTTCCCACTTACTGCTGTTGCAGGGATTTTCAGCATCTGCAGCAAGCGAGTTAAAGTTTTGCTTTAAATTACCTTAACATCATCAGTTTGTGCAGAATGTTAGGATTCTCGAGCTCTTGGGATTAGGTTGTTAAATTTCAGATGGTTCCAAACCCTGTGCTGGTAACTTGGTTTAGAAGCAGAGAAGTCATGGCTGGTCTTTGTAACTTTGAGAAGGAAGTGTGAGTTTGTTCATAATTGTGCTGACCCTGCAAATGCATAATGAAGAAGCTCAAAAGACAGTGTTGTTATGAATTGGAGTTAGCTTCCTGAAAGGAACACCTAAAATACTAAAAGGAATATAAAGTCTTGACTACCTCCTTGTTTCTTTGTATAGCAGCCAGGGTGATGAGGTGAAGGAAGGGGTGCAGTCAGAGGGCTCTTAATTTTCACTGTCAAAGGGGTCATTTATGATCTACTAACTTCAAGCAGATCCAGAAGCTGGAGGACAGGTTAGATTCAGGAATACCATCTTGGGTAAGAATTCAAGCCCTTTTCTCTCCCTGGTGACCAAGCTCATTGTGCACATCTTGTTCCCCCTAAGTCCTTCCCTGCCTGCACTCTTGGGCAGAGTTCTGCACCTGACAGTTGCCTGGTACATAGTGAGCGATAGTGTGACTTCTTCCAGTGTTTTTGCTGTGAGTGTTGTGTGTGATATGGCTGAACCATGTCTTAAAGGTATCTTTGACTCTACATGGTTATTTCACATTTTACTGCTGAGAGCTTTATTTCATTTTTTTGTGTATGTGAATTCCCTGCTTGTTTGTGCATGTGAAAAACTAGGCTGCGAGATAGGAAAGAAAGGGTGTAGTCATGCAAGCGCAAAGCTTTGGCTTGTGGAGCCCATATACTGCAGGTTGGTAGTAGCTGGTGGTGGTTGTTGGAAGTTGCCAGGTTAGGATGCTATGGAGCCAGAGACCTGGATTTCCCCTTTCTCCCCTCTCCCCTACACCTTTCAGTTTTTCTGTGGGAGGGTCAAAGTGCAGCTTTACCCTGTTTTCTTTTTGCAGGTAAGTTTTTTGTTTTCTAACTTGCTGTGGGTGATTAAATGAAGTAGTTGCTTGGCAAAGACAAAATGTAAGCATCCTGTATATTTCATGTGACCCTGGTGGAGTTCTGATAGTTTTTCCAGATGTTTCAGGTAGGTCAGCTCCAACACTTGTAGCAATTGCACTGTCTTACTCCATTCATGTGATATATGACCTCACTTGAAACACATTTTCCCCCTTCATATCAGCCATGTTATACCTACAGACTTTTTCTATTTAAAGAAAAGAGTTGGGTGGTATAGCAAAAGTGTGAGAGGGGAAGGTCAAACAAACATTAGGGTAGTCACCTCTTAAGAATTCTATTATAAAAAACACATTTTTGAAGTGGTTTAGAATGTAGCCACTAAATAATGCTTTGGGCTAAAATGTGTTATACACGGCTTTAAATAGAAACCACATTTAAAAGCAAGTTTTCCTCAGAAGAATAATCAGTTGGATAATTTGAGAACATTGTAAACACAGTTTGTTGTCATTAACACTAGGAAGAAAAATTAAGTGAAAGGGTTAAAACCTGCCTTTGGCAAAGGTGTGGACAACATCTATTGGTATAAAGTCAGGTGTATGCCTATGTGATGAGCAGGGCAGGTTAAACCTTGGGGTGTTGCTACAAGTGGCAATCTCTGCACATCATGCAAATTTTGCTTACTTTTTCTACAAGGTTTTCTTCTTCCCAGAGTATCTCCACAGCCGGTGTTTCAAAACCTGGTATGTAAGCACTCCAGAGCAGGGCCCGCCTCCTCGCATGTGTGTACACACTGCCTGGCACCTTCTCCTGATACCTGAATGAGGCCTCAAGGCATTACCGCAACACAATTGTTAATAGTAATTACTGCTTTTTAAAAACATTCAGTACATTCAACTTGGAAGGAGGCTGCTGTATTTGTGCCCTTTGGATTCTTGTATCTCATTACTCCTCTAAGACTTTATGCAATACCAGCTGCCTAGTGACTTGTCTCACTCAGAACATTTATCTCACAAGTGATCCTTGGATAGAAAGGATTTTGGTATTTATGATCACTTGTGGGTTGTGTTGTTTATTGTTTTGTGGCTTTCCTTCCTCTGTGTGTGTGCACGAGGATGGTATTGCTGGTCCTGACAATGGGAATAACCCAACTGGAAACTGGGCAGCTTTATCAAAGATGCATTTCAGTCATCTCATCTGAACAAATATCTCAGTGCCACACTGCTGCAGCCAAAATGATCATTCTTAGACTGATGGGACTGAGTGATTTCAATAATTTATTAATATGCTAAGGTATTTCTTTTCTGGAAAATTATTGACTCAATAAAAGACAACTGAAGATAAACAGAAATAATCATTAATACCTAACTAGCTTTTTCTGGCTTACCTATGGCTTTTCCTTTGTTTCTGATAATTATTTTGTTATAACCACAGAAATGTTGGTTGGAAGAGACCTGTTAAAATCAATTTTATCTTTTCCTCCCCTCACACCTCTCCTACCCTTTTCTGGCAGGGACCAGGTGTTGAAAGCACCAACAGAAGGTGCCACGGCAGCTTTGGACTCCCCAGGCAGACTGAGGATATGGTTGTGTCTCCCTTCTTAGTGCTCTGCCCAAAGTAGTTGCTCTTCTGCCATTCCCAATATCTAGCTGCTGATTTATAAAGATAATTAATGAGTTATTTGTAGTAGGGTGGGAGGAATATACTTTATGACAAACTAATTCTACCAGTTTTTAAGTTTTCGGCTGGCTCGTATCAGCAATGCAGATTAAACACTGTCTGTCATCTATCTTGCCAGAGAGGTAATGTGCCTACTATTTGAATAGCAAATATTTTTTATGTGGTAACATTACTGTCTCTTAAGGAACTATGAGAAATCTCAGAAAATTTGCAGTGCCTCAGACTGAAATGGGGAGGTTCTGATGGACAAAGTCCTGCAGTGAAGTGACATTCATTCGTACTGCTGCATCTCTGAACAAATTATTGTGCCATATAATTAACATTTTTGCCTCATTTTCTTTTTTCTTTTATAACTAGAAAAATATTTTTCCCTTTGTTGTAGAATTGCATAATGAATGTTGTTCTGAAAAGCAGCGAAAGTCTCCCTGTAGAGGCTGAATTTCAGAAGTAGGGAGTTGTACCTAAATAGAATGAAATGTTTCAGAAAAACACAATAGTCTTCCTGTTACACTTCAACAGATGTCTCAAGGCAAGTCATTTTATAAACCAACCAATGTGAGATGGATAAGTAGATAAATAATTGTTGCATACAAAACAGCTTCTGTTTCTTTTCCCTGAAGGGTTTCAGGCCTCTTATATCGGCTTATACTATATTTCAACATGGACAAAAATAAGTCTGGCTTCTCTTTGAAACCTTTTCAAACTAGCCATCTGCTTTGCCAGTCATACTCAGATCTATACCAATATTTTTTCAGGGTAGGTGTAGCATGTGAGTTTAACTCCTTCTGGTTCTTCTTGTTTTATAACTTGTTCTATTGTATTTTTTTTTAATGGGAACGTTTGGAAGAATTTTATTTAATATAAATTTCCGGCACAACCAAGAGCAGACAAAAAAAACCTTCAAATACTACTTAGTCCTAGCTGTGTAAAAGGTAGGATGTTGAGTATTAGTGATTTGATACTTGTTGGTTTTTAAATGTAACTTGTGGAGGGGACAAGGCAGAAGAGAAGGAAGAAAAAACTTTAATTTTTGTGGCGTAGTACCCCTTGCAAAATAGACTTGTCAGCTGTAATTCTGAGGATACAATGGCAAGAATTTGTATTCTCTGAATATTGATGAAAAGATGTTTGAAGCTCATGAAAAATATATTGGAAAATATGCTGGAAGATATTTTGGCTGGCTGGTTGGCCACTGATAACCGTGCAGTGTCAAAGAACATTGTTTTGCTGCTAGGGTGTTTATTGTAGGAGGGAAAAATTGTTTTCAGTTATTAAAGGACAACTATTGACACTGATGTTGACAAAGAGACATTCAGTTCTTAACACTGTTGCAATGAAATTTAGCTCTTTGGTATGAATTTCAAGTCTTGATGTGGAAAACTTAGTGTTGAGGAGCAAGTGCTTAGGACCGAGATGATGTCTCTCTTCAATGCCTGTAAATTAATATTCACTGGGAGAGATATGTTCTGGTCTTTGAGGGTGCTTGAAGTATGAATCTTTCTGATTGCTGGTGTTCTACCATATCCTCAAGTGGCAGGGCAGAGAAAGACTGATGGAGCAGAATCATCATGGTATGACAGATCTGACCATTGAGAGGGTTTTTATCTGTGATTTTGTTCCAGCCACGGCAGGAAAACAGAAGAGGAAATAAACCATCTTTCACCTTGCTGAAAGCAGAGCAGTGGGCATTTAAGGTGGCCATGCAGGTGGATATTGAAGATTTCTTAAACATTGATGCAGAAACCTATCTCTAATATTGAAATGTTACCTCATATCAAGTAGCAATATAAACCCGCTTTTGTAAGTAGTTCTAAATAAAGGCAGGCATCTGCATATGTCTAGAATTTGCTCGCTTTCCCCAGTATGAACAGTGTTCCACAGTTTTAAGTACTGTGGGTTTTGTTTTACAAACCTAGGTTGTGGCTAGCTGAACCTATTAAAGATAACTGAGAGAGGAGGAAAAGAAAAAAAAAATCCTGAATGTTTCAAGCAGCAATAGTTTCAAAACTTAGGTTATCAATTTATTGCTGGATTATTCTTAGAGGAATACCCAAGATGTTCAGGAGCCCAAAGGCATTTGGCAGTCTCATCTTGCTCGTCTTGCACCTGAAGGTGACATCTGGGCATCCTGCTAGCACAACATGTCTCATACGCTATTTCTTTCTTGTGTCGTCATTGAAGAGTTTAGAGAGCTGGTGTGTGGATTTAAGTTGTAGGAAGTGCTGACACTCCCATGCAGCTGCTGTCATTGCAGAGCCCTGGTCTGATTGTATGCCAGCATTTTCACATGACAATTCTTCTCTGCCATAATATTCAAATATTAAGCTGCTTGTCAGCAGGGAGCTGTAGACTGGGAAGTTGGAGGTCAAATCTTCATTGAAATGCTAAAAATATAGACTAAAGTAATGTGTTGTATTAAGGAAATGCTGCTATGACCAGAAAGGGTATGTTTGTTGCAATATGAAATTGGAAAATGTTGGAAAAATGCTTTTTGGAGAGAAAATAAATACATTTGAAATGGGTAAGTTGCTTCCAGAAACCTAGAGCTGAACTTTGAAGGGCTTTTCTGGATTACAGCAGTGCCCAGGAGTTCCTCCTGAGGTGAGATCAAGACTACAGAGATAGGTCTTGCATGTAGCTATAGTCAAGGACACAGGGCAGACTATGCATAGGAGAAATGAAGCTTTATTCCCCTGCCCCTGGTTCTTACAGGTGGGAGACGTCCAGTATAGAGGCCCAGAGATCTGCCAGAGAACAGTAGCAAAGTTAGTTGAACTCAGATTTTGCAGGAGTTCAACAAATGTTTAAACCACAAGACCAGCCTGCATCTCAGATCGCTTCTAAAGTGAAGATGCTGGGTTGGAAGAGTTCAGCTGATTTAGGAGCCAGGCTGAATTAAAATATCAGTCCTCTTGATATTTCTCATTATTTGGAAAAGAGAAGAAAAAAATTAAATACAACATTTTGTTTGCTTGTTTAAGGTTAAGAGTTTCTTCAGCTGTCTTCAGCTGTATCTTGCCTAGCCCTTTTTGCTAGAATTTGCTGAATACTTTTTATAAGAATAAGATGTGGTGGTTTAGTACTCCTGGAAGGACAGTATTTCTGTTCCCATATGTACACTTTTATTACTTCCCTTGCACCATCTCTGGCATTTGCTTTGTTGAGCCAGTTCAGGTTACTGGAAGGTTTCTGTTGATACTGCAAAGCATCCAGGGAATCAGAGCAGGGGAAAAGGCGAGACCTGTGCATGGGAAGAGGGACGTAAGAGCAGGCCTGCCCTTTTTTGGCAGTAGTGAGTTGCTGTATAGCTGGGTTCATAGAACTGAGCTGCTCCAGCATTTTGGACCTTCCCTCTTTTCTCCCCCCCTCCCGTTTGCTCCCTGCTTTGATTTCTTGCTGTTTCCTCTGCTGCTTTCAACTGTTTTGCCAGTCTAGGCTATTTATGGCTTGGTTTACCTAGACCGCTCCTAAAAGGTTATTTCTGCCATGTTACCCATGGAGAGGTTGAAAGAAGGGATATACTCTTTACCAAACTGAGATGTGTGATATTTTTATGAGTAACATCACAGACTTCATGCTTCCTTCCATTCCTCTCTAGCAGCCTTATACAAACGACTTGGCAGTGATGCATGTGCCCAGGGTTTAATTGGCCCAGTCACTTGAGAACCTAGGAAGAGGGAACTGATCCAAAACCTTCCAAGTTTTGTGTTGGCATTTCCACTAGAACCTCCTTTTCTTCCTTAGGGTTTGACATAGCAGTCGCAGTGCTATTGTTTTCTTGCGAAGAATTTATCAATGGCAGTGCAAATCTCTCTGCTGCTGTTGTAAATTTACTGTAGCTGCATGAAAAAGTTCTTTGAGGCTTTGAGTGCTGTATGTTGGCAGTCTTCAGTTTGGCCATGGGCATGAGCCCAGCATCCACTCTGGATAGTGATCACCAAGCGACTTCCCACTGATAATGGCTTTCAGTTGGAATTTACTTGACCCACAATTGAACCAGTGACTTAAAGGTGAAAGGCTCAGGCATTGTATCACATTACTAATCATCCAAACCATCTATACCTTTCAAGCTGTTGATATAGAAACTGTTTGATTTCTTGAGATATCTTCTGTGCCATGTGTAGATAATTGGGAATGTTGTGCTAAACTTTGGAGCTTGCTGGCCAACCCTGCTTGCTTGTAATTGTGAGATGTAGTCTGTCACTATTGAGAAAAATCAAAAGAATGTCATTTAACCTATTAATCTGGATGCATCTGCAGATTCCTTATAATAAAAGTAATTGTACATTGGTGCCTTTTAAGTTACCAGGTAACGTGAAAATTTTTTGTGTACCTGAGAATTTGAACAGCAGCCTGTGCATTGGATAATCTTATGAAATGAAATTACTTAATGTCTAACCTTGTCTTAATATGTATGTGTTTAGTCTAATTTTACAGGAATCACTGTGTTGTTAGCTGTAACTGAAAAGGTCAGTGTTTTACAAATACTACTATGATTATTTATGTGTATCTATCAGTATCACAGAATAGGATGCAAGACTCAAATTTTCATCTCCTACAGATAAATAAACCTGAAGGAACTCTGCTTACTTCTGTTGAAGTTTGCAGTGATATAGCAGGTTGTGTCTTGCTTTACAGGGTATATTTAAATAAATTCTGTTATTGTGATGTTTATATCTGGTGCTAGAAGGGACAGAAAACATGAGTAGTATTTCTTTGTTGTAGTCATGCATGCCAACCTAATACTTCTGCTTTCTGTCTTTCTAATATTTATGCAGTATTTAACTTGACCAACAATGTGGATTTGGAGAACACCAAAAAGAAAATGGAGCTGTACCAGAAGGATAATAAAGAAGTCATTCAGAAAAATAAGATAAAACTGGTTAGTTAACTTCTCCTCTCTCCTACAATTTTTATTCATTAGTTAAACAATTAAAGGATTTTCAAAGTGGAGCACTTCATATAATGTCTTAAAAACAAGTCAGACCTGAAGTCACTGTCTAGATTTCGCTTTGTATTCATAAAGTGTAATATGCTGATGTTCTGTGATATTGACACTTAGTGCTGTGTAAAGAGAGTAAATTGATAGTTGAAATGTAGTTATGCTTTATTTTGGGAAGGGCTTGAAAAGAAGGACAGTTAGTAAAGTCTGCATCTAATACATCACCACCGCATGCGTGCTGGCAGTGTTGTTGGACAATGTCCAGGAGAGACCAAGTTCATTCCTATACCAGGACAATCATTCCTTTCTCATCCAAAGGAAAAAAGAAATCCAGACACAGACATTATGAAGCTCCCAGGAGAGAGTTGTAAAATTGAGGGAAAGCACAGGTCTGGTTTATGCAAAATCTAAAATGAACGATGTTGAAACAAACATTAAAACTTTTGTTCAAGAGCTGATAACAATAACGTCAGGACTATTGTATACATGATGTGTGTGCAAAACACATGGTTCTTTGAAGATTCATTCATTAAAATACAGCTTAGATAGCATTTTGTTCTTTAAAAATAAACTCACAAGCATTTCTTTCTGTAAGAAAAGTTTAATCTGTTAAATATTTTTTCAGTACAAAAATACACATTGTTATCAGTTCTTGAAGGAAAATGTCTGCCCAGAGTGTGACATAACAAGGTTTTGTGTTTGTATTTCAGTTGCACTAAGGACTTGCTTTCAAATCAGTAGGGGTGAAATCCTCACTCCCCTGAAGTCTGTGGCAAAACTCCCAGCGATTTCTTTAGCTCTAGGATTTCACAGGAGGAGATTGGAATCTGAAAAATGTTTGTTTGAACCTCTTCCTTTTAAAGGCAAGGAAATTTCCCTAGGGGTCAATCTCTGATCTGTTGTCCTGTCTCTGATACTGTGCAATATCCTATGCTTCAGATCTTGAAGAGACCTGCCAAATCTTTGGCTACATGTCTTATTTTACAATATAGGTGCAACTTCTAGGGTCATCTTGAGAATAGTGTGCTTTGTCTGCAGCCCACCTTCAGTTCATTGTACGTGGCCCGCAGACAGCTTGTGTGATTATATCAAGCAGCACAGCAATACTCTGAACCCACCCAAGCCCCTTGGGCCTTCTGTTTTCTGTACTGGATGGTCTTGCTATGCTGTCTAGTGGAAGCTGGGCAAGCCTGCATGAATCCAGACTTACTGGAGATCTGGAGACATTTCTTTTTTATTTCAACATTTGAAACATTCAACATTATGTTTCAATTGTTGAAAAAGAAATAATAGACTTGACGCAGATGCTATTACAAAAACTGCATGATCTTGCCCATAAATTTACCCCTCTCCCAAAAGCTGAAAGGGTGCTTTCTCTCTCTAGCTCTTTTTGGCAGGCTTTAGAATGTCTTTACTCCATAAATGGTAAAAGGTGTCCTGATTTCTCACCTAAACTTCTTATGGCCAGTCATTGTCCCTTCATTCTTGGACTCACATAAATTTTTCTGTTCACTGTAAGTTTGCTTCTGAGGAATATAGATACTCCTTGTCCCTCTTGGTGTTTTTATTACTCTTTGACTGTTCCAGTTTGTGTTTGGCAAGCAAAAGAGACCAGAATTGAATGCAGTATTGTAGCTATTAACAGCTTCTTATGAAAGACCACTGTTTTTCCATTTCTACTGGAAGTACATTGATATCATCCTAAGAGTGGTGTTCTCTTGTAGCACTGTCATATGTAGTGGTCAAGTAGTACGTCATATTTTCTCCTCTTTGGTTTCTAACTGATGAATTAATGTCTCCAAATCTGTGGCCTTGTAAGTTATTTTGATCTCACTTCTGCTACTTCTATCCTTGTGAGTGTGTCATTCTTTCTTACAAATCAAAATATTAAGTTACTGAACCAGTCTTATTTTACTGTAAATTTGCCACAGGATTTAAATAACTGCTTATTCTGCTGTCAATACAAGCCATATTTTTCATATTTGTAGCAAGTTCCTAATGACCTTTGCTGCTCATGTACTAACCCCTCTGTTAGACCTGTAGGTCTGATGCAGGACCATGCAGAGAAAAAGTTTAGACAAGTCTGGATAAAAAGATGAAGAACTCTTGGAGAAGGGGTTCTTGTCATTATAAATTGCTTTCTTTTTATATATATATATATATATACTTATATATATA